GGTATATGTGGGCCTTACCAGATGGGATACACAGGAATCAAATGGATGCCCTCTGTGGGAAGAGATGAAAGAAAGACATGGCTCAGGGAGCTAGGCACAGACACAGGGCTAAAGCTAAGAGACTGAAAACAGAGAGATCCTAGGGGCTCTACTCAGTCCTCCAGCTCTGGCCTGTTGTTGGACCAGGAGTCTGGTCAGGCCATGTCTGCCTCGTTCCTGGGAAGATCAGATAGCCCGTCTGAACAGCTAGATATCTTGGGGACACTGACATCATACTGGGACCACAAAAATTGGCTGATTCAAGGGCTGGCACTGGAATAATCGTTGGCAGCTCGATCATTGGCTATACCAGGAACCCATCTCTGAAGCAGCAACTCTTCTCCTACGCTATGCTGGGCTCTGACCTCTCTGAGGTCAAGTGCTCTTCTGTTTGACAGTTACTTTCCTCATCCATCTCCCCATGTTCACCGGAGGGTTCTGCTGTTTCAGCTCTAGGCCATGCTCATTACTGGAGTGTGCTGAGCTTTAGCCTGAAACATGTTTCTCTACACACACACACACACACACACACACACAAAGATGATGGAGAAACTGGAGAGAGGGCAGGGCTGTCATGGAGCAGATCATCAACTAGCTGTTCACATGCAAGTTCATGTTCAAGCTGTGGAAAATTTTAACACCTTCATGAGAACCAAAATACCGAATTCAGAGACTATCTCAAGAACAGTTTTGGCGCACAAACACTAATGACTAAAGATGAGATGATATCAAGAACATCATATGTGAAAAAAGCAAAAGGTCATTAAAAAGACAGGAAAGAGAGAAAAGATCAATCTGGATGCCCGAAGGCACTGAAACTTGCTCTTCAACAGAGTAGTGAAAGTGGAAGACATAATCATGTAAAAGCTGAACACAAAGTTTCTAAATGTAGTTCAAGAAGACAAGTAAAGCATTATAATGAAATGTGTAAAAGACCCGGAGTTAGAAAAACAAAAGGGAAGAACATGCTCAGTATATCTCAGGCGAAAAGAACTGAAGAAAAAAAATCAAGCCTTCACTTGTAATACTGAAGTATTCCATGGGCAAAATATTGAATAATGCAGGAAGCGTCGCATGAAGATGGAAGGGACGCACAGTCGCTGAACCCAAAGGAATTAGTCAACAGACGACCATTGAAGAGGCATATGATTAAGAAAAGGTAGTATGTTTAGTGGAGAGGAAGGGTCGTGAAAAAGAAGATCCCCAAGGAGATGGATGGACACAGTGGCTTCAACAATGGACTCCAGCACAGGAACAATTGTGAGGATGCTCAGAACCGGGCAGTAAGCTTTGTTGTGTCGTGCGCAGGGTTGCTATGGGTCAGAAATGACTCAATGGACACCTAACAATGGACACCTAACCAGAACTGATGGTACTGAAGAAGAAGCCCAAGCTACACTGAGGCCATTAGCAAAGACAACACTCCCAGAATAGTCAGAATACTAATTTTGGGATGTTTCAACACACTGATGCCAGGCTGGAAGCTCTCATTCCTCTGTGCCAAGAAATTGGAAGAGCGTTACCTGGCCAACTTACTGGAAGAGATCCCTATTTGTGTCCATTCCAAAGAAAGGTGACCCAACAGAATCTGGAAATTATCAAACACTATCATCAGTATCGCCCTCAAACCCCGCTGCCATTCCATCGTTCCAACTCACAGTGACCCTATATAGGGTTTCTGAGATGTAAATCTTTCTTTTGCCCCCCAGAAATTTTGCTTTACTATAATCCCATTCCATCTCTCCTTCATTGTTCTTATTAGCATACATACTACATTTTTATATACTATTAACTTGCACCTATTGCCATATGAAGTTATCTTTTAAGTTACATACGATAAAAGAGGTATAAAAATTCCTTTATACACTTTTATATTTACCTAAGCAGTTACCCTTACCATTACTCTTTACTTCTTTTTTAAAAGTAGTTTCATTGGCATATCACATATCATACAACTCAATAAGTTATGTAATTATCATCACAATCCATATTAGAGCATTTACTTCTTTCCACAGTACTTGTTATGCCCCATTTCCCCCCAGTCTCCCTCGCCATGCCCCTAGGTAATTACAAATCCAGTTTATGTTTCTATAGATTTACTATTGTGGATTTCGTACACAGAAAATCATACAAAACAAAAACAAAGAACAAACAACAATGACAAAACAGGGTAAACTTCAACCAAAAAGCAGAAAATATTAAAAATGTAAGTCATTTTAAAATGAGTCAAAAGGGAGATCATAAAATAAGGTGTTACATTTTAACCTAACTACCTCGGCTATAATTGACTTTACAGTGCTCTATCTCATAGCAAGGCTCTTCACATCTCTGGACTATGGTCAGAGGGCAGACCCTGGAGGCTTAATCCAACTAGGGGAACCTGCAAATGGAGTCTGGGCTTCCACTGCCGTCCACAGCCTCCTGCAAACTGGGTGTTCAGAATTTAAGTTCTGATACCATTTCCTCCTCTGGATTTGGGTTTTATTATTTACAATCCTTGGATCACACAGTATGGTATACTTCTTTCATAGGAGCCAAGTTGACCACTCAAGAGACTGCAGATTTTCATGGGGACAGACCCTTTAGTCACCCTTCAAGTCTGGAACTGAATTGACCACAGTGGGTCAACTTTCAGGGAAACAATACACTAGTTTACAAGGAGAACAGTGACACTAAGGACGTATACAGCCTTTATTACAATCAGTCATTGAAGTCAAAAGGGCAGCACTTAAGGAAGCATAAAATGCGGAAGGGCTAGGAGACGATGAGGTTTGGAAACAGGCAACACAGGGAAGTGGGATAAATAATGGCACCTTGAGGGGACTGCAGTGGATGAGATGAAACAAAGCATATAAGTCGCTGAATGTAAAGCTGATGATCTGTTCCGTAAACCTTCACCTAATTCACACTATAAAGCTTAAATAAACACATAACAGACTTTCCCCTCAATTTTTTAAGCACTGTGTACAAAGAAATGAAGTATTAGAGATTAATCAAGATTTCTCCTTCTAGTACTGCCATTTATTCGATTCCAACCCATAGCCACACTATAAGACAGGGTTGTGCTTGGTCAAACTACATTATAAATGAGAGGCGAACATGGCACAGAGGTCTTCATGCACATTCTGATGCAAAATAGTAACTTTGGTCTTCAGTACAGATCCAACTGCGTATAAAGAAAATAAAACCCTCACAACGGGACGAATAGACAACATCACAAGAAACAGAAAAGATGGAAGTTGTGAAGGGTTTAATTTGATTTGGTTCCATAATCAACGCTCATGGAAGCCGCATTTAAGAAATCAAAGGATGCATTTCACTGGGCAAATCTGCTGAGGAGCGGCCTTCACCGTGAGGACTACGGTGCCCCTTGCCAAGCCAGGGCATCTTTTCTGGCCTGATACACGAGAAAGCTCAACAATGAATAAGGACGGTCACAGAAGAATCGATGCACTTGAATCATGGTGTTGGCAAAGAATGCTGCAGGTAGCACGGACGGCCAGAAGAACAAACACACCTGTCTTAAAAGAAGTACAGCCAGAATGCTCCTTAGAATTGAGGGTGGCCAGACTTTATCTCAAGTACTTTCGATATGTTAGTAGTAGCAGCAGCGATCAGTCCCTGGAAAAGGCCATCATGTTTTACCAAATACAGGATCGGCGAAGAAAGAGGAGGGCTGCCAAGGAGATGGGTTGACACAGTGGCTGCAATAGTGGGCTCAAATATAACAACAACTGTGAAGAGGTACAGGACCAGGCAGTATTTTGTTGTTGGTTCTGAACTGCTGACATTGTGCCCTTGTGGTTAGCAGTCCCAGTTCACCTACCCACCACCAGTCCTCAGGGCTCTTTGGGGCCAGAGTAGGCACTCAATCAGAACTGTTTAGTAAAACCTGGTCAAATGATTGACTCAACAGTGGACAACACTTACCACAGTCTTCCTTGGGTCAAAAACAAGAATCTAATGTATGGTAAGTGGTAAAAACAAGAGAGGATTTTGACACATCTCATAAAGGAGTTGGGCATAAATGAAAAGCACTATGAGCTCCTTCATTCAGCTAGTAAATACTGATGCCTACTAAGTGCAGACAGCTCCTATGAGCATGAACCATGTTCATGAAGACATGCAGACTTCCTGGCATTTACATGCTAAGAGTTAGGTCTTTTGGCAGGACAGTCCCGCGGCGTTTTTAAAAAGTCCCGATTTTTGGAAAGAATGCACGACAAGCTAGGGTATACGGTTTTCGGCTGCCATGTGGCTATTTCGCCAGGATATGAGTTTTATCACTGGTGTCCCGCTTTTGTCCCGTTTTACCAGTGTTAAAAATCTGGTCGCTCCTTTCTGGAAGGCAATGTTAAAGGTTCTATAAAATTATTTTCAAATGATGCATTGCATTGGGTAATCTTCTACGCCAGACCTCTTTAAAGTGCTGAAAAGCAAGGGTGTTAATTTTTGGACTAAGGTGCACCTGATTCAAGCCATGGCATTGTTCATATGTGTGGACAATGAGTGACGAATACAATGAGGAATCAATGCATGCGAATTATGCTGCTGCTGAAGAATATTGAAGGCATCATGGAGTGCCAAAAGACCCAACCAAAAGACCTTTTGGGAAGAAGTATAACCAGAATGCTCCTTTGAAGCAAGGACATGCTACCAGAAGAGACCAGTTCCTACAAAGTACAGGGTCTTGGGAAAACAAGGAAGACCTTCATCATGATGGATTGACACGGTGGCTACAACAACAATGGTCTCAAACAGCAATTGTGAAGATGGCACAAGACGTGGGCGGTGTTTCCTTCTGTTGTAAGCTGTGAGCAGAAACCGACTCAGGGCCACCTAACAACCACCACCACCAGCACGACAACCAAAACCTATATTTGGCCACGTTCCAGAAGCTGCCAGCCACCGCTTGCTGTGTGCTGGTCCTCGTTTCCTTCAATTTAGTTGGCCCATCCGCTTCTGTGGGCTGGTTGTGACAAAGAACTGTCAGTGTGAGTGCCCCTCTGGGTTGGGCCCTGTATGCAGAAAGTTGGCACACCTTGGCACCCGGAATACTGCCACTCAGAAAACAGAATGGCGCACTGAGAAGTAAGAAAGTTAGAAGAACATGCCGACTTGGACAAGGAGGAGGAAACACTGTCACACCCTCCCCTCCTGGTCCATGCCAAAGCTCTAAAGAACGGGGACACAAAAGCACCCGGTTCCTAAGGCGGAGCCGGAAAGGGAGGTGTGAGGATTCTCCTCCCTGCGTATTTCTCCCAGACGCCAGGACAAGTTGGGCGGCAGCTCGGCCCAGACTTGGCGCCCTACACAGAGAGGCGGCGAGAGGAAGGGGGACCTGTCAGCTGGGAGCTGTGGGGTCCGCTCTCAGGCGCTGAGTCAGCAGTGGGAAGCCCGGGCGCCCGCACGCTCGTCCGCTCGCCGCCGCCAGGACGACCGGGTAGCCGCGACCGCAGGCTTACCGCCGCACCGGACCGAGCCCGGCTGCGCGGGGGGCGTCCTCCAGGACGGTCACTGCCCGGGGCGGGGCGGGCAGCCACGGCGACTGAAGAGCCCTGAATTAAATGGTGAAGGAAGCGGCCGTTTCACGACCAATTCCCATATCCGCACACGTGACCAACCTCGGAGCCGGAAGTTGACCCCTAGAGAAGGAAGGAGTGACTGCGGGGGAAAGGGGAGTGGCCAATAGACGTAGGGGGCGGGGCGACGCCGGAGGGGCGTGGTGAGGCGGGACTCAGCCCCGCCGGAGGGGGCGTGTCAAACAAGGGCAGAGGCGGGGCCGCAGTTGCGGGGTGATGGGCGTGCAACCCCGGGATTTACTGCTGCGGGATATTTGCTTTTGAGAAGACTTATTTATTCAGATGCTTCAGCAATTTGTTTAAGAAAGAATCAACCGAATTGTTTGAGTTTTCGTATATGCGGCGCTCCATTCCGATATTTTCAGCAACTCATTCAAGAGGGGATCAGTTAAAATGTTTTATTTTTTGCATCTGTGACTTCCAACTCAATCCTGGTAGTATTCTTGAAGCATGGAGAGTTTAAATTAAGATTCTGGAGGTGCAGCCCAGCTATTAGAACTTTAAGTAACACCGCAGATTATTCTAAACATACAGGTAACGTGGAAGAAACAAAAAAACAAATCCTCTGCCTTGGTGTCAGTTCTGACTCACAGTCAGCCCCGTGTGTAGGGTTTCACTGACTGCAAATCTCCATGGAGCAGTCAGCCTCATCTTTCTTCCCTGAAGCCACTGGTGGGTTCGAACTGTCGAGCTTGCTGTTGGGAACCTAACTGCTCAAGCCACAGTGCCACCAGGGTTTGTCTAATTACTTTACTTCTCAAAGTATGGTCCGCTGCATGGGCATTATCTGGAAGCTTAGGAAAAAGAGCCTCTTTGACCCACTTAACTTTACTAACTCAGAATCTTTACATTTATGTTTGAGAAACGCCAATGTTGCCAGTGGCAAGGCAAATGATTAGTTGATTCCATATCACTAGCATCTATTTTAAGCCAGGAGTTTTGACGGCATACTGGGTTCCCTGTTGGACTGCTAACCACCAGGTTGACGGTTCAATCCTACCAGTCTCTCCACGGGGACTAGATGAGGCTGTCTGCCCTCATAAAGATTAGCCTCAAAAATCCTCTGGGGGCATTTCTCTGCCTATACAGGGTTACTCTGGGTCACAATCGACTTGCTGGCAATGCATTTTATTTTAAGCCAGGCACTTAGATACTAAGGGCAGAGGTGATTTAAATATGATTCTTGTCCTGAAGGAATTCAGAATATGATACGACTAGACCACCCCAAACCCACTGCCATCTAGCTGATTTATACTCATAGCCACCCTGCATAGGGTCCCTGAGACTGTAAACATCTTCAGGAAGAGACAGTCTCATCTTGTTCCCAAAGAGCTGCTAGTGAGTTTGAACTGCCAGTGTGAGGCTTAGCAGTTCAATGCTTACCTGACAAAGCCACCACGGTACCTTAGACAAGGTATAGGCACAGATGAATAGAAAATAGGATTGTTAATAAGTAAGTGACCGAAGGAGCATTTCTTTGTTACAGCCCAATACAGTCCTTTTCAAGTGGCTGCCGAGGTCCATTCATGCACGCATTCATTCATTTGACAGCCGGTCTCAGGCACTGTGTTAGTTACTGGAGATATAAAGATAGAAGTCACACTCACATGATTACACACCCAGTGTTTTGTTTTTTAGTTACTTAGTTTGGCTGTAGAACCTCTGCTGGCATAGTGGTTACACGTTGCCCTGTGATCCTCAAGGTCAACTGTTCCAAGCCACCAGCCACTCCATGGGAAAAAGGGCTTTCCACTTCAGTTAACAGCTACAGTCTTGAAGCCTTTAAGACCCCAAACACTATATCTTTTGATAGCCAGGCATCATCAGCTTTCTTCACCACATTTGCTATGCACCCATTGTGTCTTCACTGATCCTGTCAGGAAGGTGAGCACCACAGAATGCCAGGTTATTAAAACAAAGTGTTCTTGCATTGAGGGAGTACAGTGAACCCTCGTTTATCGCGGTTAATCGGTTCTAGACCCTACCGTGATAAATGAAATTCCGCGAAGTAGGATTCCTTATTTGTAAATCAAATATTTTCGTAGTTAGAGCATAGAGGACATGAAAAAACACCCTTTAGTCACCATTACACTCGTATTACCCAATTTATTAAACGAAAAAGGGAAAATACAGTAAAACATTTTGGACGTTACAATTATCATTTATTATTTATTATATTATTTATGGCATCAAGCGTGTACAGTATGAGCCAATCAGTGGCAGTAATGACAGAGCATGCGCTGTTACACAAAAACCGCGATAGAGTGAAGCCGCGGAAGTCGAAGCGCGAAGTGGCGAGGGTTCACTGTACTTGAGTAGAAGGCCAATGTCTGTCTGCTACCTTAATACTAAACCTATAAATATATGTACAAAGATCTATTTCCCCGTCATCATATATAAATATATTTATATATGTACATGCTTGTATTTAGAGCTCTCTAAATGCCCTTTGCCTCCTATTACTTTCATCTATTTCCTTTTACTTTCCTCTTGTCCCACTGTCATGTTCTGTCTTCATTTGGGTTTCAGCAATTCCTCTCGGTTACATTGCCCTTGATCAAGCCATACCAGGCATCCTACACCCTCCTCACCATCAATTTTAGATCACTTGTTGTTCCCTTGTCCCTGAGTTTGTTAACACACACTTCCTTTCCCCCACTTCCTTGTCTTCCATGTTCCCCGGAACCATTGGTCCCATTGTTTTCTTCTCCGGATTGTTTATCCCACCTATCTTATCTAGATAGACATGCAGAGACAATAATCAGCACACACACACACACACACACACACACATACACACACAAAGACAGAGCAAAATAAAACAGCAAAAGAAAACAAAAACACCCAGCGGGAAAAAAAAAAAAGAAAAACCTATAAATAGTTCCAGGTCTGTTTGTTAACTGTTAGGTGTGTTTTCCAGTCGATTCTGATGGGGTGTCATGCCCTGGTATCAACTCTACTTTTGGTATTTCCCGGGCACTTCATTGCTTTGCTCCCCTTGCTGCTCTGTTGCCAGCCCTTAGCGTTTTGCCCCGGAGTGGTAGGGTCAGATTGGGCACAATTCCTGCACTGTGTCTCCAGTGTTGTCTCTCGAAGTGCTATGGGTCAGTGAGGGACATCGTGTCTCCAGGTGAGACCAGCCCTTTGGTCCTCTTTGTGCACTGGCTGCTCTGAGCAGGAATATCGTCCTTGGAGCTTGGTGGGCCAGATGTGTTCCACCCTCTCTCCTTCCCAATTTGTTTGCTCCGATATAAACAAGCGGCCATCTAGCTGAGAAGCAACAAAGCCCACATGGAAGAAGCACACCAGCCTATGCGATCATGAGGTGTCGGTGGGATCAGGTATCAGGCATCAAACACCCAGAATAAAAAATAATGTCATTGTGACTGAGGGGGAGTGTGGAGTGGAGACCCAAAACCCATCTGTAGACAATTGGACATCCTCTCACAGAAGGGTCACAAGGAAGAGACAAGCCAGTCAGGGTACAGTATAGCATTGTTGAAACATACAACTTTCCTCTAGTTCCTTAATGCTTCCCCCACCCACTATTATGACCCTAATTCTACCTTACAAATCTGGCTAGACCAGAGCATGTACATGGGTACAGATAAGAGCTGGGAACACAGGGAATCCAGGACAGATAAACCCCTCAGGACCAATAATGAGATTAGGGATAACAGGAAGATAAGGGAACGTTGGGGGGCAAAAAGGGGGAACCGATCACGATGATCTACATCTAACCCCCTCCCAGGGGGATGGATGACAGAAAAGTGGATGAAGGGAGACATCAGGCAGTGTAAGACATGAGATTTTTTTTAATAAATTATCAAGGGTTCATGAGGGAAGGTGAGGGAGGGAGGGGAACAATGAGGAGCTGGTACTAAGGGCTAAAGTTGAAAGCAAATGTTTTGAGAATGATGATGACAACATGTACAAATGTGCTTGAGACAATGGATGTATGTATGGATTGTGATAGGAGTTGTACGAGCCCCCAATAAAATAATAAAAACAAAACAAAACAAAAACCCCAGTTGCAGTCTTGAAAACTCACAGGGTACGGCAGTTCTACCCTGCCCTGTAGAGTGCCTGTGAGATGGCATGCACTCGGTGGCATTGAATTTGGGGTTGGTTTTTTTTTTTTTGAGTGCTGGTGTAACTGAGACAACCACAAATGGGTGGATTTGATGAACGAAACCTGAATTTTTCTTTACAGGAACAGGAAGCCGTATCTGTTCCTGCCAAGCAGCTGGTGGATTCACACTGCTGATCTTGCTGTTCACAGCCCAGTTCATAAGCCCCGGTAGTGCCAGCACTCTTGTTCAATCCCTCACACTGCGGACGTGCAAACAAAAGTGGAACTCATCCTGCCAGGAGTGGACTCATGGAGAAAGCGACAAATGACTCTACAACGTACCTGTCAGTGTTCATCCGAAGATATAATTTTGTAGGGAAATTAGCAGACATAGAAGAGATCTGTTTGCTAGTAAAACTGTTCTGCTCTAGTTAACACTGCTTGTTTTTTGTTTTGTTTTTTGTCCCTTCCATTTCAAGAACGATGTGATCTAGAGACCAGGGATGTGAATATCCCTGCTAGCATGCTAAGTGCATGGGAAAGTGGATGACTGCAGATGCAGTTAGGTTAAAATGTAACACCTTATCATTTGACCTCCCTTTTGACCCATTTAAAATTTGTTCTAGTTTTTAATATTTTCTGCTTTCTTTTCCATTGAGGCTCTTCTCTGTTTTACTTTGTTATTGTTTTTAGGTTGTTAATGTTGTTGTTGTTGGCTTGTTTTGTTTCTTTGTATGTTTTTCTGTATATGAAAATGAAATCCAGGGTAGGTAAAACTATAGAGACATACTGGTTTAATGGTATCTTGGAAGTGTGGCATGGGAAGTTGGGGGGAAACGAGGACCTAATAACAATGAGTACACGAAAGAAGAAAATATTCTAAAATTGATATGGTAATGATTGTACATCTCTTCTTGATCTGATTGGACTATATGATATGTGTATTATAAGCCAAT